TTTGGTATGTCAATCATAAAACAGCCACAGACTGGGAGGACAAGTGGCTGGTTAGCGGCCTTCTGAAGTAAACTTTGACCTGGGACAAGCCACCCTGTGAGAAATAAATGCCAAGTTAGCTAGTCTCTAAGGGATAATAGCATGCAAACAGGCACTTAATGTCAAAGCCCAGGTGAGTTTTATGTCAGTTACACCATTGGGATGACAAGGCAAGAATGTAAATAAGGGAAAAGGTTGAACAGGATGCAAGTCCTAATAGCTACAGTATCTTGTACCATATTCTCCAGGTAAGAAGTAGTATTTAATGATAAATTGCAAGATAGTGTGGTTCTTACGGGTATTTGAAATTGAACGCAAATGTCTGTTTTACGAGCATTAACATTATCCTTTATTACTTATAATGATAGGATTGTTGAAAGAAACTTGCCCTCCATCAGACTTCATAACCTTGGACATGAACATGAGGAAAATGCTCACAGGGACCCTCACGTACCCAGTCCAGTGCTCCCTTGATTAAGCAAAAGTCAGTGAACCTACTGTCTCTTGATTCCATACTCTGAAGTATTAAGACAAGATATGCTTGTCTTGTTACCAACAACAGTGATGGTCACTGCTAGTTTCTAAAGAATTCATTTAGATAGCAGCCCCCCCACCCCCCAATCAGGCTGGACCAGGATGGGACAGGCCAAGGTGACCAGCTGTATAATAAGCCAGTGTATTTGCTTGCGGGTATTATAAGAAGTACACAGAGCACACATCTGGGTTACAAAAGCCCTTTTATAAAGCCATTTTTAAACAAAACAAAACAAAAAAAGTTTACAAAAGAAAAAAAGATACAGAAAAAGAATAACTTGCTTCATATGTCCCCAAAAGAGAAAAAAAAAATAAAGGGGACAATGCCAACATGCTCAACAATAAAGGGTTCTTTTTCTTATTTTTTAATACAAAATACAAGCAAAGGATACACATACTTAAAACAGAGCTCAGGAACAGACACGCAGTCCTGGAAACCCTTCAACAAAAGAAAGCAGGAGTTTGTTTTTTCTTTGTCTATGCAGATCCATACAGAGACTGGGATATGTAGAAATTAAGTATCACAAAAGACCATCACACAAGTCTACCAATGCATGTTGCGTCTATAATTTACGAACATGGTCAACAAAATCATGTTCACTTCAACCCCATTTCATTTAAATTAAAAAAAACTTTTAAATAAAGTGGTTACATTCAAACTTTAACTTCCTTAGTACCATGCTGCAGATTTCAGCACTGTTAAGGTATTGCAAGAATGCCCAACCCTCTGGTGTCTGATCACGTATATCTAGCAACATTGTAGTATTAAGGGATGCCCGGGTTTCAGTCCATGGACAATTAAATACATTTAAGCAGGTTCTTCTCTTTTACTTTTCCTGCTCAGAACGTAAAAGATTAAGGACTAAAATTAAGGAAGACGGGGAATTTTAGAGCTGGCAAAATGAAGTCTGAAAGATGAATCAAGGCAAACAATTACTGAGAACTTGGCTGCTGCTTAACCTGGCAAATCTTAAAGTCTTTCCTTCAATCTTGCAGGAATTAGTTGTCTAAGGTTTGCTGCAACATGTTCATGGTAAACAAACTAAGTAGTGCTCTTATTTACAAATCTTGTAACAAATACTTCTGGAGGAAAAAAAGAAAAGAATTCACTAATTTCCAGAAGACAAAGGTTTAATTGCCAGACATATAACAAACACCCACTCACACACACACCCACACAATACTTCAGGGGTTTTTATACAAGTTATTTAGGGCATAAGCTGAGTACTATACCCCTACACCCCATCAAAAAAGGAACAACAACAAAAAAAATCCCAATTTTACCCACCCTCCCATAATCTAGAAAACCCTCCCTTCACCCCTGATGTACAAAGTGTATGCACGACGGCGGCATTCCACCAGCCACACAAAGCATGCTCAAACAGATGTCACCAGTTCCACCGCTCCATGGGCATGCCAACAGGCAGGTTTACAGGACTTTTCCCAATAGTGGTTAATACACAGTCAGCACCACTGTGAAGTTTGTGAAGGAGGCTCGAAAAAGATTGTAACTTAGAGATTTAGGATTCAGAGACTCATTTTTGTATCAAGCTTATCTCAAGAAAAAGAGGAAATGGGTTGCACACTGAAATTCGGCCATAACTAGCTTGACGTCCCAATATTCAAAGAAACTAACTCCCTTTTCAAATAAACTCAGCTCCGGGCGCAGAGAAAAGGACAACTCTAACATGAAGAGCAGCCAGCTTGTTCCAGTTTCCTCATTCCTTGACAGGAATGGATGTTACTCGTTCTGTTGAAGTATCTGAAGGCCCTTAAGAACAGGCCAGGTTTCTTTCTTTCCAAACGCCTAAGGTGATAGTTTATTCTCAGTGCAGCTACTGGTGATGTAGGCACAGACAGGACTGTTCAAATCAGAACTTCCTTTCTGTAGAACAGCCACAATGGCCACACGGTCTTTTATAAAGCCTTTCCTGTTGCTCCTGCTATTAAATTCTGCTCCTGCCTTTCTAACACCCTTAACTTTTTTTTTTTTTTTAAAGAAAAGCACTGCTCTTTCCCCAACCAGTACTCGAAAATCCATTTGTTCCTTGAATGTTCATGGATTAAAAAACAAAACAAAATTAATGTAAAAAAAAAAGTGTCAAGTTCAGTTTAGTTGATCATATCCTTAAGAATGTCAAAAATGTTACTGGATTGTAACCTCAAATTCCACCCTTGATTAGTTACATACGAGAAAATACTATTTGAACCAGAACCAAAATTAAGTATTGAACTGAGGGTTGAATCTGGAGCAAACCAGGTATTGTGGAGAAAAGAAAAAGAAAAAAGTATTAAATCTGTCAAGGGAAATCAACTCCTGTTCTTCCAGGTTCAAAGATTTCCACTCATGACCTCCCTAAACGAGGACACACCCATTAATTTTCCTTCATGGACTCAACAGGAAGTGGAGATATGAAAGGGAGACGTCGTAGAAAGCAGGACAAATCTACTGTTACTGAAAGGAACATTTCTCCTTTGGGCCCACTCCACTGATTCCGACCTGAGGTGGGGAAGGCTAGCAGCAAGCAGCGAGCTACAAATAGATTTCATAAGACGGAAGCTACCCATTTCCAGCCGTGCGTGTGCGTGCGTGCGTGCGTGTGTGTGTTGGGGAGGGAAGTCTGAAAGAAAGAACCAGAATGCAGTGTCAGTCAGCATAGCTGCCGAAATCCACATCCCAGAGGTAAACCTAATGAGGCCAACATTTGAGAAGTGAGATAACACAAACAAGCACTTTCCGAGTGAACGGCCCCCTTCCTGAGCACTGCAAACAAGACAGTGAACGCTATCGCCATTTCACCATAGGCACACTAGAGAAAAGGGGGGCGTTTAGTCAAGGGCGGTGCCGACGGCCAGTCCCCATCAGCTTATGTCTTGCAACCTGTCCTGGTACCATGACCAAGCCTGACTGTTGAGCACCTGTTTCCAGTTGAGACACCACAGCTGTCCTACTTGCATGCATGATCTGAAGGGAAGGCCAGAGTGTTTGAAATCATCAGTAAGAAGTGGAGAAAACACTTCATTCAGAGCCTGTCTCTCTTGGGGACACAGATCCTCTTGTCCAGTCTATTAGAAATATATATAATACATTTTTCAGTCTCATGAGTTAATCTTTTAAAAAGGGATCCCCAAAGAAAAAGCGCAACCAAATGCACACAAGTAACCTAGAAGACATGATTACCTCTAAAGGATGTGCGTATATGACAGAGATGTTAGTGCAGATTAATATATTATAGAGATTGTGTTACATAAAATACCACGGCTAGTTTTAAAAGACCCTTCCCCCCAGTCTTCACAAAACATAATCTAAGGAAAGCGCAAATGTTACTAGGAATGTAAGACTTAAATTTATAAACCCCTAAAAAGAGAAGTGCATGGTGGAAACACTGAGAGGCTTTCTAACGTGTGAACACAAACCTTGTTAAAACACCTGAACAAACCCAGAAAGCAAGTAGAATCATCTTTAACACCCACATTGCAAAGTTCACAACTGTAAAGTTAACCATCATGAAAGATAATAATCCAATTGCTACCTATGTTTAAGTTTTGCATTTTGGCCAAGCACTAAAATCTCCAAATTCATTCTTTAACACACACAGTGTAACAGTGAAATGACTCTCTGTCACTGGTGCTTTCTTAAAAAAAAAAGGAATCACAGAGTAAGGATACTCCTTACAATGTCTTAAAAATCAGAGTAAAAATATTCCTTAAATAACCTTTGTTCTATGACCATCTGCAAGAAAGCCAGGTTGTTTGAGAGAAAAATACGCTGTGACTTAAAAGATAGAAGGAAAACTGCGTAAGTAAACATTGAAGAAGCAAATCTAGAGAAAAAGGCAGAGGTTAAATTTCACTAATTTTTCAACTTATTAGTGCACTAAGACCCCGAAACCTTGCTCCCATGAGCTTATGGTTATCAGAATGTGGAGGATCAAAACTACAGATCTGTCTCCTGCCTCCATAATGCATGTAAAAGTCTGTTACCAACTGCACACAGGCCTCCTGAATGCATGGTTTCTCCAGCCCCACAGAGCCCCTTAAACTTTTGTTTTAAGCAACAGGAGCAGTAAGCAGGGGCCCTGGTAAAAAGACAAAAGCTAACTGAATAGTCAGAGCAGCACTGAACACACTCCCATGGAGCACAGGATGTGGAGTGAGAGTAGAGCCGGGACAGCTCACATCCTCGAGCAGAGCTGGCAGGCACTGGGGGCGGGGCGTGCAGTCGTGTCCTTCCAGTAGCAGGAAGCCGAGAGATGCACTTCATGCCATGTTTCCATGAAGATATGGGGAGACAGGTGTATGGAAAAGAAAACGTTCTACCCCTGAATAAAAACAGAGCATGGTTCACGGGACCTGAATGCACATTTATGGCACAGAAGAATTTCAATTCTCTGTTTTCATGAAGGAAAAATCTCAAGTCTTTGTGATTGAGTTTCACATTAACTGGTACTTTATTTACTTAAAACCTAAACATTGTCAGTTTGAGAAGAAATCCACTGTGATATATAGATCTCGCCATTTAAGTTCTAGGGTTTTTTTTTTTGATCCTTGGTAAAATTGTATCCAAGAAACAGAATAGATACATATATACTTTAAAACATGAACCATTAGAGAATGAAATAGGAAATAAAAAATGATTTAAGTTTTGGCGGCCCTTGCGTTTTAAGTTCCTTAGACTGTAGCAGGATAGAAGGATCACTGGCTCCGAGTCTCTTAGAGATAACAAGTGATGAAATTAAAAAAACCCCACACCCTCAAACAAGGTCAGGTAACCCAATTCCCTACCCTGCCCCAAGGTAAAAAATATGAATACTTTTAGTAACAATTCAGAATTCATCTTTATCTCCTACTTGCCCCATCAGTGGAAGCTTAGTCATGATTTTTTAGACATCCCTATTTTTGTATATAGATATATAAACTCGTATTAGAGGACAATTAAGTTTTTTAAAAAGTCCAGGTAGAGAAAGAAGCAATCATTTTTAACTAAAGCCCTCTACGTTTTTTGATTACTGTTCAACTTGCTACCATTTAGCAAAAAAGCAAAATTTCCATAGTGTTCACCTCAAATCTTATTGCTTTACAACTGTGGTATACCTTCCATTAAAATTAAAAAGATGAAGCAGTCAATCCAGTGATTCATTTGACATGGCTTTCATTGGGAAAGCGGGTGGGTTGGTGGGGGTGGTGACAAAGAGAAGACCAATAGACAAAAAGGGCAAATTAAACATACAATGGTTTTCTTTACAAAAAAAAAAAAAAGAGAGAGAGAGAGAGAGAGAGAGAATATGTTATTTTCAACAAAAGGAAAAAAGCATTGAAAGCCCATGAGTCAAGCCATAGCCAAAACCATATTCTATCTTAAGTAGGTTTTCTTTTTTTTCCCTCTTTTTTTCTTTTTTCTTTTTTTTTTCTCTTTTTTTAAATAAAATCTCTCCCCAAACCATTATCACTTTTAATCCTCCCCAGACTGGGCTTCATCTTCAGACCCTTCATCCCCAGACTTCTCGGGCGGGGGGCTGGCAGAAGCTTTCTTTTCTGGAGGGCTTTCGGGTTCCTCGTCTTCTTCTTTGGGAGAAGGAGTCTTTTCCTTTGAAGCCTTTGAAGCGGTGGGGCGACCCACTTTCCCTTTGCCTTTCACAGGACTTGGCGTCACTGAAAGAAGAAAGATACCCATTTGGGGAAGGGAAGAAAATGTCTTTAATAAACATCAGCTACAAAACAAAACAATCGGTAAGGAAAAAATCTGTAAAGACAACACCGCAACTTTCTAAAAATCAGCGTGGGTACCAAACACTTTTTTACTAACACCGTCATGTTATACGAGCAGTAATATCTATAATAAAGATGCTAAAGAAACTGCGTATCATCCTTAGTGGCTTGTGAAACTAAAACCTGTTCATGATAAAAATTATTTATGTTTAAAAATTGGGTGAAGAAAAAGGGATGTAACTTAATCTGGTAGAACTGACGCCATCAGCAACTTTGGATAGTCCCATCATTCCCAACAGCAAGAGATAATGAGTAAAAAGTTCTACCTGCCCGAATGAAAACAAAAAGCAAATCCAGCTTTCCGATTTAGTGACAGTCTAGCTCGACCTGGAGAATGTCTGGCAGAAGGAAGGGCTCAAAGGAAAATGAATCTAAGTGCTCAACTGTGGTTTTACTCTGTCAGCACAGAGGATGGTGTAGGTATTGGAACACAGAACGCTGATGTATTGCTACAGGTGTGCGTTTTCACAATTTCATGTTGACTAGACGTTGAGACTGTGGTATCAAAGGGGAAAAAAGGGCAGTAGTAGCTACGCTGGTGTGGTGTTTCTACCACTGGGCCTGATTCACATAGGTCGTTCTCAAGCCTTGCCTTACGCAGAGCAGTAGCTGGACAGGGCTAAGCCACCGGACCGCTGCAGGGGCTGGAGTCCTCATGAGTAAGTCAGTGCTGCTTCCAGCTACGGAAGGCAGGATCCCTTGATTCTTGTTAAGTATGTGGCCAAGGCCAAGACCTAATGAAGGATTTCTGTGGAGAAGCTTATTGGTTCTTGAGATTTTTCAAAGCAATAATTCATTTCACTTCTGCAGAGCTCACCTGTGGCCTTTAGCCTGGGTTTGGGCATTTTCTTTTCTTTTCTCTCAGGTTTGGACTTCTTAACCATCTTTTTGTTTTTCTTTTTTGAACTGCCATAGTCACTATCATCATCATCTTCCATTAGGAAATCCTCATCACTGCCGGAATCTTCTGAGAGGAAAGAAGAATTTCAACGTCCAACTTAATGTACACACCCTTCCAAGTGAACAAAGGAAGAGAGTGCTAAGAGTGACTGCAGGATGGGATTTAGGAGTCAAACACTCTTGGATTCTATTTGCAGCTGTACTACCAATCTGGCTGGAGTTGTCACTGGCCCCACCTGTAAAATGGTTTAGCACGCACATGAGGGTCATGACTGACTTGTTTCAGGAGTAGGTTGAAACAGGAAGAGATAAGACAATCTGGATAAAACATAAAGCCATCGAACAACTCTCAGTAGTTCCCTCGTTCCCACACAGTCCTGACGAGACCAGGGAAATGAAACTGCACTGATTCCGTGCGTCTCTCCCAACTATAAACAAATGAACTAAGAAAACGCCACACAAAGCAAAAATACATGTAATTAATTAACCTAAGTAACTTGTGAAACGTCTAAATTGTTTTTCTTTTTTTAAATCACTTTTTTTTTTTTGGCATGGGGAGGTAATTAGGTTTATTTAAATTTTTCTTTAATGGAGGTACTGGGGATTGAACCCAGGACCTTGTGCATCCTAAATACGTGCTCTACCACTTGAGCTATACCCTCCCCCTCGAAACATCTAAATTCTATTAACACATTTGTCAAGAGAGGTCTACGCCCTTCTCTACCAGGCCAAAGTTATAAATCTTGTAACACCCACCAGGTAACTGTTACTCTAACAACTGTTCATTCAGTATTTCACTATAAATGATGCACATCATAATCACAGGAAATCTTTGAATCTTTTAAAATACAAATAGATATCAAACAGTCATCTCTCTTAATAGTGAGGATCTAATTTAAGGGACTGATTGTAACATTTAGCATCCACAAAAATGCTGAAGTAATCAAGGTCACCAACTACAACCACGACCAGAGTAACAGGCCAGCGGTACGTACTCTCCTGGAATGGTGCCTCATCCTCGTCTTCTTGTTCTTCTTCACTGCCCACATCTTCCATGAGCATCTCCCTCTGTTTAGAGGCTGCTTTAGAGGCTGCCTGCCGTTGCTGGCGCACATTTTTATGATCTTCTTTTTCATCTTCACTGTCCTCTGCAATATCAGAGTTAGAATGCAGTGGTCAAGGAGTTATGGGTTTGACAGCTGACAAGAAAAGCCAGTGTAAGATACAATCCGCAGCTTTATTTCATTCAAAAAGGGTAAATTCTATCCCTAAAAATTCCTATAAAATATACAAAAGAAAAGCTAAAATTCAAAGAATGAACTTAAATAAGACTATATTCCCACTATTACATATAAAATAACTTAGGCATGGAGTTTTAAGTAGTAATAAAGCTGAATTTAGGTGTGAACACATGCTTCTTATACTGTAAACTTACATCATTCCTTTGCCCTAAAATTCTCAATTGCAGTCAAATCTACGTTCACAATTTTTAAAAACTAAAGCTAGAAAAATATTTTTAAATAGTAGAACTGGGAAGGCTATCTTCCAATGATATTTATTCTAAGATACAAAACATACAGATGCTAAAATAATGTCAAGCTACTATCCTTTATGAATGAAGTGTGACCATTTCAGTTTAGAGGGGTTTGAGGGAAAATTTTAAAACACATTTATATTTAGATCAATTAGACCTTAATACAAGTTAAATAAAATTACTTTCTTATACTGTAGTCTATCAATGAAAAGTTCTTTCCAACACACAGCTGTGCTGGTGAATAAATCTGGTTAAAGAGCAGGCTGCCAACCAACCGGCTCTAGACCAAGTCACATCTGTATTAGCCTCTACCTACAGCTCTTCTCCTGGACTTTGGGGCTCCCGTATTCTGTTAAGATTTAGCTGTGGGAAATGCAAATCAAAATCACGAGACATCATCCTACATCTGGTAGAATGGCCATTATCAGAAAGAACACAACTAGCAAATGTTGGTAAGGATGAGGAGAAAAGGGAACCCTTGTACATAATTGGTGGGAATGTAAACTGGTGCAGCCATTATGGAAAACAATATGGTGGTTTCTCAAAAACTTAAAATTAGAACCACCATAGGGCCCAGCAATTCCACTCCTGGGCATATATACAAGAAAAACAAAAACGTTAATTCAAAAAGATACACACACCCTGCTATTAACTGCAACATTATTTATAATTGCCAAATATGGAAGCATCCTAAGTGCACATGAACAGATGAACGGATAAAGAAGCTGTAGCATATATAGGCACTGGAATACAACTCACCCATAAAACAGGGTATTTTGCTTTTTGTGGCCCTTCATTCACCTTTTTTGTTTGTTTGACTTCTAAAACCAGAATTTTATAATTGGCATAAACATTTCCATTGCACCAAAAAAACCAAAATACCTGGAAATAAACTTAACCAAGGAAGTTACCTATATTCTGAAAACTGTAAAACATTGAAGAAGGAAATTGAAGATGATACAAAGAAATGGAAAGGTATCTTGTGCTCTTGGATTGGAAGAATCAACATTATCAGGATGGCCGTACTACCCAAAGCAATCTACAGATCCAGTGCAACCCCTGTCAAAATACTCATGACATTTTTCACAGAACCAGAACAAACAATTCCAAAATTTATATGGAACCATAAAAGATGCCAAATTGCCAAAGCAACCTTTTATAGGTCTTTTTTCCCCCTCTTTCTTCTTTTTGTTCTCTTTTCTTACAGTTTGGTGACTAGAGAAATTCCTTTAACATTTGTTGTAAAGTTGGTTTGATGGTGCTGAATTATTTTAGCTTTTGTTTATCTGTGAAGCTTTTGATTTCTCCATCAAATCTGAACCAGAGCCTTGCTAGACAGAGTATTCTTGGTTATAAGTTTTTTCCCTTTCATCATTTTAAATACATCTTGCCACTCCCTTCTGGCCTGTAGAGTTTCTGCTGAAAAATTAGCCGATAACCTTATGGGAGTTCGTTCCCTTGTATGTTATTTGTTGCTTTTTTCTTGCTAACTTTAATATTTTCTCTTTTCCTTAATTTTTGTCAATGTGATGACTATGTGCCAAGCTTGATGTGTTCCTCTTTGGGCTGATCCTGTGTGGAACTCTCTGCGCTTCCTGGACTTTGGGTGACTGTTTCCTTTCCCAAGTTGGGGAAGTTTTCGGTTATTATCTCTCCAAAAATTTTCTCAGGCTCTTTCTCTCTCTCTTCTTTTTCTGGGACACTTAGAATGAGAATCTTAGTGTGCTTCATGTTGTCCCAGAGTTCTCTTAAACTATCCTCATTTCCTTCCATTCTTTCTTCTTTTTTCTGTTGTGCAGTAGTGATTTTCCACTATTCT